TACGTCAGTAATTTCACGGGTATGGCGGGTTTTGAATTTGGGTAATGCTGGAACGGGTTTGAACCTACGAGATGAGCCGGGTTTTATAATTTACCTAGTACCAGCCCCGTGGGGTTAGAAACACGCTCATCCCCGTCGTCTAATAGGATAAAAACCCGCGAGGACGAGGGTTTCATGGCCCCATTGCCATCTTCAGCCACCACCAATCCCTCATGTGTGGTACTCTTCTCACAAAAAGAACCCCTCAACTCTAGTACTTTGCCTAACAAAAGCCTGTGCATGTCAAGCTATATTACTATGTACTCCCTCTGTCTCAAATTCGTCCTGAACTACTTGTCGCAAAAATAGATGTATTTAGACGTATTTTTAGTACTAGATACATCTTTTTCTATCCATCTATATGACAAGTAATTTGGGATGAAGGAAGTATATTGCAGCAAACTCATTTGTATAACAACAATTGACATTTAATATGTGGGTCCCAGCTCGAATCTCAATGCAAATGTGGATGATGTACTCTCTACCGCTAGGTATCGAAACCGTTAATAATGTCTTTGCGAGCCAACATATCCTTCTTTTCTCCCTGAGCTCACACATGAGTCCCCCAAGAAAAGGTGGTAGCATGGGTGGCAAAGCTCTCTCCCCCCAGAGCTCATTACTGTTCCGGCCTCCTGTCCATCCCCACATGATTCATCTGCGTGTGTGCGGGAGCTCGTTCCTGTATTTTGAAGCATGGTGGCGTCAACGGCATCCCACATCGCGCGCCCAACGAAGGAGCGGGAGCTTTCACTCCCAATGGACTACCATTTTATTCATTTGATCTTTTTTGTATTCGTGTGTGATTTGAATAATTCTTTTCATCCCGAACCATTTGTTATTGTTTAATTTATTCATATTTGAACATTTGTTGTAATTAAGATGATTATTGTATTGTACTCCTTCGTCCGGAAATACTTGTAAGATACATCCATTTCAGTATTTCCGCGGAGGGAGTATGATGCTAGAGCATTAATAAAATTGATTTATATTGTTGTTGTATTAAGATTATATTGTTAAAAATTATGAATTTGCCTAAAACCCCCCAAAAGGTTTTGCGGGTCGGTTTCGCCGGAGGGGTACCAAAAATCGTTTTCGGGAGAACCATAAAATGGATATGCCGGAGGCCATTTTGCAGGACCTACTAGAGATGCTCTAATCAATCAAAAGATACAAACAAGCAAACAAATCTGATGGGAGAAATTGGTTCGTCGAGATTGGCGTGCGGCCTAAAACCGCCACTGACGATCGACGGCGGTTAGGTGGAGCTAGTTTAGCCTAGTGGCGAGGGCGAGGCGACCCCAGATAGCCATGGATGGACGCCCGCCGGCTGGCCGGCGGCCCGCTCTACCGATCGAGTTGCGAATTGGGACACTCAGATCACATGCCCCCTCCCCAAGTCTCCACCTCCCCTCTGCCCTTACGCTTTGGCTCTAATTGGGTCACGTTTCTTTTACTCTTTGCCCACTTGTTATCCAGATGACAATCATGGTGGCAAGAACTAATGGTATCGAAAAGGGAACAAACAATACTACAAAGCAATGCGTACGTGAAAAGGAGACGATAAGCCGATTTGTAAAGCGCAGTGCCTACTAGACGCATCACAAAATTTGTACTACTATAAACCCTCCCTCCTCCAGATTGGTGGCTGCTCGCTGGCCGCCGTAATCGGAAAAGGCTCGCTCTTCTACCGGCCGACGTGAATCCATGCATGCGGCCGCCGGGGCCAGAGAAGAAACATTGCAGCCATGGTATGGAGCGCCGGAGGTGGAGGAAACACTCGAAGCTATTTGATTTGACGTGGAAATTAGGTGCAGAGTTGGTGGCGCCTACGTCCGCCCGTTGTTGCATCTGCTTGCATGGGCAGCCCATCATCATTCATCGGTGGGGTCGACCGTCGACGGATGGCGATGAACCGCTCGAGAGCACCTCCCTCGACCATTCATGGCGATGGGGCCGGCGTCCGCCGTCCGTACGCACACGCGTCCGTGCAGCCCGGCGTACGTACTGTACGCATCACGTCACGTCACATCACATCGCGGCCTAAAATATCCCGCGTGCGTGCGTGCCCGGCGCCACCACCTTGCGGCATGCCGGCCACGACGCGACGGGGGTGAGCACGACCGCCGCGGCGCCGCCATGATCGGCACTTGACCACATTTCGCCGCCCCTCTTGCGCTAAAGCGATCGGTCGGTCCACATGAACACGTCCTGGTGACCAGTGACGACGATGATCTTTACCTAAAAGCGTTGCTGCCGTACGCGCGCTTTATGTATGCAACGACCTACAGCACCCACGTCTGTACATTCCCTTTTCACTTTCTGAATTTCCACTCCTTTTGTTTAGCTGATGAGATTGATTTGAAAGTATCGTCGAAAAAAGAAGGTGATTTGGAAGTATTTACCAATAGTGAAAATGCTACCAACGCAAATCAAGCGAGATGCGCCATCTCGCACACTGTACAGATGCATTTTGTACGTACGTACGTACGTACTACCTGCTGGCCAAGATCTATTGACAAAGAGCGGCTATATACGTGTCACGTGTGTGTGTGTCGTATGCACGTTGCGAGCATACTGAAGTTGCTGCGGCGGAGACGCTACTGTGCCGACGGCCGGCAACGGCCGGGGCCTGAGACGGCGGCCGAGGCCTGCGCCACAAGGACGTCGGCGCGCTCGCAACATGTTTGGGGAGGGGGCGACTCGGTGGCCGACGGCGCCGGCGACACGACGAGGGCGCGCCGGCAGGAGGGGCAGGTGGAGCTGGAGAGCAGCCACACGTCGACGCAGGCGGCGTGGAAGCCGTGGCCGCACGTCGGGAGCACGCGCACCTCGTCGCCGCGCGCGAACTCCACCAAGCAGATGGCGCACTCCGGCCGCTCCCCAGCCTCCTCATCATTCTTCTCCTGCTCTGGCCGCCAGGACACGGTCGGCAGCGCTTGCAGCGCCTTCTTCTTGATCCCCTTGCACGGCGCGGCGACTGCCCCCGGTGCGTCGACGGAGAAGGCGGAGGGGTTGCACAGGCGGGAGCACCGGGCGACCATGGCCAGCCCGACCACGCAGAGCAGGAAGCAGAGCACCGCCGCCAGGATGAGCAGCGTGTCCGTGTGCACGCTCATCCCGCCCCGCGCCATGGCGGCCGCCGGAGGCGCGGCCAGCGCGGCGAGGCGGTCGACGGACTGCTGCAGCATGTGGCGCGGCATTTTTCTCGCTCCTTCTCTTCTGTGTGGGGCAGGAACTCTGAGATGAGAGCAGGGAGGTCTCTGTGTGGAGTGGGTACTAGGGAGGAGAATTGGAGTGGACTGGAGGAGGGAAGAGCTGGGGTTGCTGGTGCTGCGTTTTTATAGGGTCTGGGATAGGCTCATACTCCCTCCGTCCGCGAATAAGTGTATTTCTAGCTTTTATGTTAAGTCAAAGTTTTGAAATTTTAACCAACTATATACAAAAGAATGATAACATATATGACATCAAATTGATATATTATGAAAGTACATTTCAAAATAGATCTAGTGATATTAATTTAGTGTCATAAATGCTAATACTTTTCTCTATAAAGTTGGTCAAAGTTTTAAAACTTTGACCTAGGACAAAAGCTAGAAGTACACTTATTCGTGGACGGAGGGAGTACGCCAAGTGGCTTAGGTGAGGGATATGATTCATGATGAAGCTCATGCTTAGTGGGACTATCACTTTCTTGTGGCATGTCTTCATTGCTACCCTCATTCTCTCTGCCTTTTTCATTCCCTGGCTCTCTTTTTTTCCTATAACTGGGCACATGTCACCTTCCAAATTAGGTGCGGCCGGGCGGTCTGGACAAATTAACCCATGCCACTTCTGGCCTTTTCTTCTTCTTATCTCTACTATCTAAAAGAAACGTAAGGTTTCCTCTCCCCTCTTACGTCGCACCTTTCGTCGATCCCTTCTCCCACCCGATCGCGTGCCTTCCCACGTTGGTTTTTCACTAAAAAAAACCTCAAACTGAATCCACGGCTCTCTCTCTCCCTCTCGCTCCCGAACCCACGATCTCGCACCAATCGGTTCCCTTGGCGCTACCCCTCCCATGGTCGCTGAGGGAGTCCTGGATTAGGGGGTATCCGAACAGCCGGACTATATGCATCGTCCGGACTATTGAAGCGTGAAGATACAAGACTCAAGGCTTCGGCCCGTGTCCGGATGGGACTCTCCTTTGCGTGGAAGAGAAGCTTGGCGATCCAGATATTATATTTCCTTCCTTGTAACCGACTCCATGTAAACCCTAGCCCTGTCCGGTGTCTATATAAACCGGAGAGGATGGTCCTTAGAAGGCCGATCACAATTACAATCATACCATCATAGGCTAGCTTCTAGGGTTTAGCCTCTACGATCTCGTGGTAGATCTACTCTTGTACTACTCATATCTTCAATATTAATTAAGCAGGAAGTAGGGTTTTACCTCCATCGAGAGGGCCCGAACCTGGGTAAACATTGTGTCCCTTGCTTCCTGTTACCATCAGCCTAAGACGTACAGACCGGGACCCCCTACCCGAGATCCGCCGATTTTGACACCGACATTGGTGCTTTCATTGAGAGTTCCTCTGTGTCGTCGCTTGGAGGCTTGATGGCGTCTTCAATCGCCAACAACACCGTCCAAGGCGAGACTTTTCTACCCGGACAGATCTTTGTGTTCGGCGGCTTCGCACTGCGGGCCAATTCGCTTGGTCACCTAGAGCAGATCGACAGCTACGCCCCTGACCATCAGATCAGGTTCAGAAACTTGAACTACATGGCGGACATTCGCGAAGACTTGATCTTCGACGGATTCGGGGATGTGCCAGGAGCGCCGGACAGTCACGACGAGCACGGCCTAGACCTGCTGTCGGACAATGCTCGGGACATCATCCCTGCAGTTTCCACGGATCTAAATCCGAAACAGGTTACGTTGCCCAAGGACGGAGGGTTGGACCCCGCCCCGCAGGCCGCATATTCATCGGCGGTGGAGCCGAACACAGGTCTCACCTCTATGGAGGCCTGTAACCCCGGGGCCCCAGACTCGTATCTGGTTGTTGGTTCCGGTCCGCACACCCTCGAGCCAGCCAATCCAGGATGGGCTCCGGTAATGGAGTTTACCGCTACGGACATTTTTCAACACTCGCCCTTTGGTGACATGCTGAACTCATTAAAGTCTCTCTCTTTGTCAGGAGGCTCTGGGCCGAACTATGTTCGGCTTGAGTGGGAAGCAGGCGACGAAGGAATTTGCTGCCCACCCACCACCCACTTCATTGCCACGGTCGATGATTTAACCGACGTGCTTGACTTTGACTCCGAAGACATCGACGGTATGGACGACGATGTAGGAGACACACAGGAGCCACCGCCCACAGGGCGGTGGACATCCACCTCTTCATACGATATATACATGATGGACACTCCGAAAGAAACAAATGGCGATGAGGCAATGGAGGATAACCCCTCCAAGAAGAAAGCAAAACATGGGCGTCGCCAGCGCCGCTCCAAGCCCTGCCAAGGCAATACCGGCACCGGAGACGAAAACAATCCGGACGGTGCCGAAGATGAATATGACCCTGATCAGCCCGCCTTCAAGCAGGCCGAACAGGAAGATGGGCAGGACAGCCCAGATGAACAAGCGACGGACGGGTATCCGGAGGAGGACAACTACATGCTCCCTCCGAAGACGAGATTAGCCTCGGCGACGACGAGTTCGGCGTGCCTGAGGACCCCGCGGAGCAGGAGCGCTTCAAGCGCCAGCTTATTGCCACTTCAAGGAGCCTGAAGAAGAAGCAGCAGCAGCTTCAAGCTGATGATCAAGATCTGCTCACAGACAGATGGACAGAAGTCCTGGCAGCCGAGGAATACGGACTCGAGAGCCACATGGCTGACCGGCCGCCTCGAGGTCGGGATAAAACGACATATCAGCCCGAATACCAGCCTGCACCCCCATGCCAGTTTACTACGGCCCGGCAATACTCAGGACCTGCGTGATAGATTGGATAACACCGCAGGATAACCTAGATCGATATACGGATCACGGGGGCGCACCGCAGCACATGACGATGACCGTCATACCGGATACACTAACAGTAAATCCGGCCGGCCCGAACACAACCAACCTGATTTGGGCTGGACTGCGTTGCGACATAGCCCGACACAGAGCAGCCGCACACCCCCTTTGCTTCGCTGATGAAGTGATGGATCACGAATTCCCAGAAGGGTTCAAACCCGTAAACATCGAATCATACGATGGCACAACAGACCCCGCGGTATGGATTGAAGACTTCCTTCTCCACATTCACATGGCCCGCGGAGATGATCTACATGCCATCAAGTATCTTCCCCTTAAGCTCAATGGACCCGCCGGCACTGGCTTAACAGTGTGCCCGCAAATTCCATTGGCAGTTGGGAAAACTTGGAAGATGCATTCCTTGACAACTTCCAAGGCACATATGTGCGACCTTCGGACGCCGATGACCTGAGCCACATCACTCAACGGCCCAGAGAATCAACCAGGAAATTCTGGACACGGTTCCTAACTAAAAAGAACCAAATAGTTGACTGTCCGGACGCCGAAGCCCTGGCGGCCTTCAAGCATAATATCCGCGACGAGTGGCTCGCCCGACACCTCGGCCAGGAGAAACCCAAGTCCATGGCAGCTCTCACAACACTAATGACCCGCTTTTGCACGGGCGAGGACAACTGGTTGGCTCGCAACAGCACTACGCCACATTCTGACACGGCAGATGTCAGTGACAATAATGGCAAACTACGGTGCAACAGACACAAGTGGCGGAACAATGGCGACAACACCGAAGACACGACAGTCAATGCTAGATTCAGCGGATCCAAATCCGGTCAGCAGAAGAAGCCATTCAAAAGAAACAGTCAGGGACCGTCCAGTCTAGACCGTATACTAGAGCGCCCGTGCCAAATTCATGGCACCCCGGACAAGCCAGCCAACCACACCAATAGATACTGCTCGGTATTTAAATAGGACAGCAAAATAAACACCGAAAACAAGGACAAGGGGCTGCACAGCGATGACGACGATGAGCCCCGGCGTCCGAACACGGGGGGACAGAAGAAATTTCCCCCCAGGTGAAAACGGTTAACATGATCTACGCCACTCACATCCCCAAGCGGGAAAGGAAGCGAGCACTACGGGACATCTACGCGATGGAGCCAGCCGTCCTCAAACTCAACCCATGGCCAGCTTGTCCGATCACCTTCGATCGTAAGGATCATCCGACTAGCATCCGTCACGGCGGCTCGGCCGCATTGGATCTAGACCCAATCATAGATGGATTTCACCTCACAAGAGTCCTTATGGACGGAGGCAGCAGTCTGAACCTGCTTTATCTGGACACAGTGTGCAAAATGGGCATCGACCCTTCAAGGATTAAGCCTACCAAAACCACCTTTAAAGGTGTAATTCCTGGAGTAGAGGCCCGCTGTACGGGCTCTATAACATTGGAAGTGGTCTTCGGATCTCCGGACAACTTCCGAAGCGAGGAGTTAATCTTCGATATCGTCCCTTTCCGCAGTGGTTACCACACACTGCTCGGACGAACCGCATTCGCTAGATTCAATGGGTACCACACTATGCATACCTCAAGCTCAAGATGCCAGGCCCGCGCGGGGTCATAACAGTCAACGGAAACATGGACCGCTCTCTCCGTACAGAAGAACACATTGCAGCCCTCGCGGCCGAAGTACAATGCGGCCTCCTCCAGCAAACCTCCAATCCAGCGTTGACAACCTCAAGCACCGTCAAGCGAGTTCGGAGCACCCTGCAACAGGGTCAACAGGCACGCCAAGAGCGCGACTAGCAGTCCGGCCTGCGCTCAAATCCCACCAAGGCAGCATTCGTGCCGCGCGTACATAATTACGCACTCAAAATACCATGGGCACAGGCGGAGGCGAAGCAGTGGCTCAGTCAACAGCGCGGTATCACCGCCTCATACCTTCATAACCTTTCCTTTTACCTTTCAGGACATTGCTTTAGTGCAGCTTCTCCAGAAGAGACGGATTGTCGGACTTACATAGGAGAGAAAACCAAGGAGGCAACATGCTTTGCACACAGAAGGAAATACCCAGGTGGAATCTATTTATGATCATTATACCTGCTTTATCTATCTGTACGTAGCCTGCCCCCGAATAGGGTATGTCAAATAATCCTATTTATCTCCGCTTAATGCATTCATTGCAAACA